GGTGGGGGGGTTAGCATCTCTAATTCCTTGGTGTTCAAGGGTCGGCTGTACTAATTTTGAGGTACTGGAGGTTAGGACTTAAGCATATGAATTTGGGAGGGGGATGAAATTCAGCTCGTGACAATGACAAGAAAAGGTTTTGTTACACTGTTGGAGAAGGAAAGGGGAAATTAGCACTCATAAGTTGCTGGAGGTGGTACGTGGTACAAACCGAGACGGGTTCTTTGAAGAGTAATTTGTTATTATTTGTTAAAATTCAAGTGGATTCCTTTAACCTAAGTTTGATTTCCAGGAACTCTCCAAAATGAGAACATGTGAGCTTCTTCCTTGACACTTGGCTCATAATAGCAAAAGACTGGAAACAACTCAGTGTTGTCCATATGGCATGGGTTAGGTATGGTTAAAAAAAGAGAGAGAGGAATTTCTTTATGGACAAATATAGAATGTTCTAAGGAGAAGCATGGTAGAGAGCAGTGCTTAGAATGATACCATCTGCATGACGGGAGAAAGCTTATAGGTATTTGTGTAGACTATTTTCTCTGAGGTTGCACCAGATGTGTTGGTAATTGGGGGATGGAGGCTGGATAGCCCGGGGCCAGGGGTGAGAGGGAAGGTTCTCAGTGTATACATTTTGGTACCATTTAAATTTTGAAATGTGAATTTATTAAATAAAGGAATCATTTTCTTTCACTTACGAGAGAATTGTATCACAAGGTCGCTTATAATTTACGTTTTTTGACATGATGTTTTAAAAATGGAATTATTCTGATTAAAATCATTCTTGTTTTAAGAATGTTTCTGATTTATTTTTCTCAGAGTGCCCCACAAGTCATGATTTGGAAGGTTTTATGAGGGCCGTGATTCCACGTCTGGGCAGTGACAGCGCTCGGTCACTAGGTCACCGAGGACAGGTCAAGTGTGTCCCTCGAGCCAGACCATCCTTGTCAGACAGTCTTGCCTCAGGCTTGTAGGGCAATAATTTTTTTTTTTCCATTCCAGTGTGGAATGTGTATGAATCATTGTTCCAGATTTTATGTTGCTCAGACACTCCCATGCAGGGAGATACTATTTAGTAACTTGTTAATTGGGCTGTTCTGGTTTTACTGGGTTATTTGAAGGCATTTATGGGTGATGATGTTGATAAAGCTAATAGCACTTTGTGTGTGTTTGGTACCTTGAACTTCGCAAAGCGCTTCCACGTTCTTGATCTCGTTATATTGTCAGTTGAACTTGGCGGTTTAGAAGCAGATTATTACCATCTTTTTATGGATGAGGAACTCGAAGCTCGGCTGTCTCGCAGTGAGTAAGTGACAAGGGTGTGCAGCAGCTCTGCTGAGGAGGAGGGCGTGAGTGCTCAGCACTGGTGGCCCAGTGATAACTTGAAGCTTTTCGACGTAGGTCGTGTAGTTGCAGGGGTTTTCAGTGGGGGCGGTTCTGGCCCCCAGAAGACACGGTGATGTCTGGAGACCTTGTCGGTGATCAGGACTGGGGGTATGTTACTGACATCTAGTGGGGAGAGGGCCAGGAATGCTGCTCAGCACCCACCCATGCACAGGGTAGCCCCTTGACAGCGGAGCCTCCCCTGGCCTCAAATGTCAGTGCTGAGGATGAGAAAGCCTGACGCAAAAGCCCGTCCTACACTCTCCCCAGCTCATCCATTTACTCCCTCGTGAACATTTGCTTTAGGATCCATGGTGGTAGAACTTTCTCGGAATCCTGACTCGTGGCCAGTGTAAGAGACCTTCCCTGTCTTGTGTTGTGCGTGCGTCCTGCCTGGGAGGTGGGATGGTGCCCGCAGGTGTGTTCCTGATGGCGCACAGGTTATGTGTCTCCAGATCCCATGATCTGTCCCTTCGCCCTCTTCCCGGTTTTCATAGCATCTCTGTCCTCATCCAGGTTGGGAGATAGGCAGAGTTTATTCCTAGCACCCTTGCCTTTTGGTGGGAAAGAAACCAACAGCTGGGGTTATAGTTCGGGAATTCTAGCTAGGAGAGGGAGGAGCAAAGCAGAACCCAGAGCTTTTAGGGCTCATCGGGACCATGGTGGGAGAGTCAGCCTATAGAAAGGGAGAGAATGATTGAGTACAGAGGATTGGGGCTGTGGAGGAGGATGAGTGTTCAAGGGAAGGTGGCAGATCGAGTGATGGCATCAGTGATGGGACTGGGGGTTGCTGGTGGAAGGGGGTGGGGGGGACAGAGAACACTGTTGGCAGGCTCTTCTTGGACAGAGGATGAGACAGACCTCGTTCTCTGAGGCAGGAGGAAGAGTGAGGACAGACGTTTGGGCCTGGTGGACCGAGCAGGGAGGGGGATACCCTGGGTGCGTGTCCTCAGGGGAGCTGCCCTGTGAGCTGTGACGCACACGGGACAGGGTGGCCAGGACATCTCGTGGCTGGGGGAGTAGCTGTGCGGGGGCTGGTGGGCTTTGGAGCTCGGTGCATCCTGGGGGCAGGGGTGGGGAGGGTGGGGATGAGAGCAGGGCGAGTGGGCACCTGCGAGCAAGGGGCTGCTTCACCAAGACAGAGTCGGGAATTCGTACTGCAATTTAGTGCGAGCTATCGGTTATTTTAAAACAAGTGTGTATTTTGTTTTGTTTTGTTTTTAAAGAGAAAGGAGATTCACTCTTGCTCCATGAATGACCTGTGGATACCTTCGTCCACCTGTCCAAACTTGTCGTCCCCCTTCCACCTCCTCTTCCCGGAGCTCCCTGTCAGTAGATGGCGATGCCCGATGTCCATCTGAGCAAGGCCACGTCTGGAAGTGACCTTGACTCCCTGGATACCTCCAGGCCCCGTCACTCCTGCCTCGCCAGCGGCTCCCAATGACACCACAGCCACGGCACCTCTCCATGGGCTCTGCAGGAGCCTGTAACTACTCTCTGGCTCCTTTTCCACCCACATCCAGGGCTTACTCCAAAGCGGGCATCTGCTCTGCTGCCCTTCACTGACTGTTAGGGGGAGTCTGAGATGTTTAGCGCGGGCTGCAAGATCGGCCTCTGGCACACCGTGGAGGTCACTCTGCACCAGGGCGCCCTCCCCTCCGTACCTTCCCTCCAGTAGGTCCTTGGTGTCCCCTCTTCCCAGCCTCACAGCTTCGTTTCTGCTGGGTCAGCACCAAGACAAAGGGAACGGGAATAGAAATGTAAAGTTCCAAGTTTTTAATAGAAAACGAATTTAAGAGTTCCCGTGTTATCCAAAATGGTATTGGTCGTTTCTCTGGAATAATTTATTTCTGTCAGACAGGATGCTTTTGGAATGCCTAGAAGGAGAAACACAGACATTTCTCCAGGAGCAGGGACTCTGGAGGTCTACCTGGCATTGGGCTCGTTTACAAAATGGAAGGAAGGTCAGAGAATAGTCTTTCTGGTGGGAAGTTCTCTTGAAATCAGAACGACGGGGTGAGTACACCTGTTCAGAGCAGGTGTCCATGACTGGGTGGTTACTGAGGGGGTAAAATGTTTGTATCTAGAAGGTGGATCCCAAACACATCATTTCAGGCTTCTGTGCCCTGTCCAGTCTCTGCTGAAATTGTCTTTGTTGTACTAGACGTCAAGGGCATTTGAAAGCTTGAGAACGTGTTCTCCATGCAGTAAAACTTGGACTGTTTAGAATATCATAGAATCGACTCTGGATGTCAGAATTTATTTGAAATTTTACAAGGATTGTATTTTACAAATGTGGTATGTATCATTGCCTCTCTGAAGCGAGTATATGGTCCTTGACCACAGTGCACGGTAATGAGCTCGATGGTGCCGGACACTGTCCCCAGGCACTTAGTTTGCTGTTGGTGGGAAACACAGACAAGTGAATCTAAAATGAACCGCAGACCAGTGGTTGCTAAAGTAAAAGTTTGCACAGGGTGTAGGGGAGGGAAGCAGGGGAGGGTTTTCCCGACTTCTGCTGAAGCGGAAGGGCTCGCTTCCACCCTGAAGGGGCCAGAGAGCTCTTTCCGTGCCTACTACAGCTAGTGTAAGGGATTGAGTTAGTAACGAAGCCTGCCGCTGTTAAGTGCATCCATGCACACCAGGGTGTGGCGGGTCGCCCAGCCCCAGTGACACTCACGGGTTACTCACCACCAGTAGCTGTGACGTGCATCCACGTCACTGGTTGTCGATCTTGCCTGCTTGCTGTGGGCCGGGCACTTGGTTAGGTCAGAAGCTTGGAGAGGAAACAACTCCCTGAATCCCTCAGGTGAGGGGTCAGGACCCCAGGCCTGGTCTGGCTCATCCCTGAGTGCTCCCTCCCTGAGCACAGGGCGGAGGTTTGCTTGCTTGCTGCTTGGTTTTCAGGGGAGTATCACTTTGGGATTTGTGTTTAAAACAAGAGCTCTGGAAGTCATGGAGCTGAGTGGTTTCAGGAGAGACGAAGGGAAAAGACACAGAGTGGACACTGGTGAGGACACAAAGTCAAGACTTGGGCTAGGGCCTGCTCTTCCCTGAAAACTGTGGTGCTTTGGGGCTGTTGGAAATGGGCTGCCTTTCTACGAAACAAGGGGGCGGATGAAAGGCTGCACTGCTGTCCCCCCCCGGGAGCGTCCCCTTCCGTCAGCTTGCAGGGAGTGCTGACCTGCCCCGGCGCCTCCTGGCTGACACCTGGCGGGGGACGATGACACACATGTGTGACCGCTGCTGGCCCTGTGATGGGCTTTGGGGACTGGTTCCCAAACCCAGCTGTTCCTGAGGATCACTGACTGAAGTTTGAAAGGGGAAGGCGCCGCGCCCCCCCACCCCCAGTCCCCGTTCTTCAGAGATTCTGGTTCAGCAGGTCCAGAACATGCTGCCTCCAAGCGTCTGACGGAGGCCGGCACAAGCCGTGAAAGCCCACCGATGTCGTGGTGGCTTTTCCTGCAAGGGACTCACTTGCACACGCTTTTCTTGCTGTTACATATTTGTGAACATTTTCAGTTCCAAAATAACAGTGGGAAAAAAAAAACCCTGAGATTGTTTAAATTTTTTTCTGGTTTTGTTTTTTAAAAATAATTTCCCTCTTTTTGTTTCTGTAGGACACTAAATTGTGGATAATAATGGAATACCTTGGTGGAGGCTCCGCACTAGATCTTGTAAGTATTCCCCCCCCCAATGCCTAAATATGCATCAAAGTTCTTCTCAGTAATAATTCTGTTTTTATCCACTTGTGTTTCCCTTTTCAGTTGTATGAAAAGGGGACCAAAATATTCCTTATAATATCTGTTTCTAACAATATTACTGAAAATTATAGTTTTCCTTTTTATTTTTAAAGATTTATTTTAGAGAGAAAGCGTGCACGAATGGGGGGAGGGCAGAGGGAGAGAATCTCCAGCAGACTCCCCACTGAGTGCAGAGCCCTACAGGGGACTGGATCCCATGACCCTGTGATCATGACCTGAGCCAAAACCAAGAGTTGGACGCTCAACTGACTGAGCCCCCCAGGTGCCGCTAGTTCTACTTTTGAAACCAGGTTTGCTCAAGTTTCCTGGGAAGCCAGTGAATTCATTCATAGAAGCCGTGAAGGATTCTGCCTGTCATTGTCTTACTTAACAGTTTGGTAGCTTGTCTTCCAAACTGGTTTTGGAACTGAGATCCCATTATTGTTTCCCATTTCAGATAGTAGCTTGGCTTCCAAAATATGCACGTATCCAAAATATGTAACGTGACTAATTAGAATCAGGACTTTTAAAACTTACTTGATTTCAGGAGTAAGATGGGCAGGCAGTGTGTGATTGCAGGACGGTGTCACCCATCGGAGCCGTGGTCAGGCCAGGCGGGGGTGTGCACTTCTGTTTCTCTTCATGCTGGTGCTTGCGGTGCATTTGATGGTGGAGCTGGGCCCACCCCGGGGTCTTGTCTCCTACCTGGCTTGGGCCTGTTGTGCCAGTCCACGAGCGAGCTAGTGGAAGGTAGCGAGGGGCTGACCTCAGAGCCACAGTCTGCAGCTTGCTGCTCTTGGTAAAACATGGCTGCATGTTGGCTTCTGGCCAGATGCTTACAATAACCAGTGAATCATAAGCATTGCTTAAATTGTCCTAGAAACACAGTATATGCAGAACAAATTTTTAAAAACTCACACAGTTGTTTAACAGTTGACGTCTTGTCCCCACGGTGGTTACACAGTGAAATCAGTGTACTCAGCACTCTTTTCCTACCTGTCCTGGAAGGGCTGGCTTTGGGGTCAGTGGTAGTTTCTGGGACAGGCCTCATCTGTCACTTTCATGTTAGAATGGCCCAGCAGACCATCGTCAGGATGATGGGCCTGCAGTTTTCACTGCTCCTCAGAGTGGTTGCTAGAAGAAGCCCATGTGTTTTAGTGGTTGTAGTCTTAACACAGATTTTATCCACTAAGGAAAGAGTGCCCTTTGGTTAAAAGGAGAGTCCTTTCTCACAGTGGGAGTAGCAGTTAGTAGTTTTTTGGGGGGAAGGTAAACCTCTAAAACCTTACGTATCTCTAAAAGTATTACGTACCCAATTTTAAAATAGCACATAATGTTATAAACCATAAAAGCAATTAGTCAAAGTAGTGTTCAAAGGGAAATTTCAAGGAAAAATTTAATACAGTATCAACAATTGTATTAAAATGAGAAGAGCAACAGAACAGCTGGATAAATTTCGTGACTTGCTTTGCATCTTTTCCATAAATATACACATGACACAAAGAGCTTTTCATTTTTTTTTTAAAGATTTTTATTTATTTATTTGACAGACACAGCGAGAACAGGGAACACAAGCAAGGGGGAGAGGGAGAGGGAGAAGCAGGCTTCCCGCCGAGCAGGGAGCCCGATGCGGGGCTCGATCCCAGGACCCTGGGACCATGACCTGAGCCGAAGGCAGACGCTTAACGACTGAGCCACCCAGGCGCCCCAAGAGCTTTTCATTTTTGACTGTTTTGGGAAATGCTACAGGAATATAGAAAATAATCTCATTTTGGGTAATTAGATTGACTGTTACCCTGAGTGCATCTCTTCTGTGGCACACATGACGTTGTTTGCCGGGACGCTCTCCTCCAACACTGAGCCCTTCAGAGAAGAAGCTGTAGTCTCTCAGTGCTCTGGTTTATTCATTCTTAATGCCACAGTAATTTATTTAGTGGCAACTGTCGTTGGAGCTTTGAAGTCTGTGAAATTTTAGACATTACAATTGGAAGGAGGTATAGAACTCTCCACTTAAAAAAAAAAAAATCTCGTGTGGTATCAGTCCGAGCAAACTGCCATCCACCGTCCACATTAATGGCTCTCCTGATAAGAACCAGGCATCCTTTTTTGGACATCCCTAATCATTTCATTTTAATTGAGGAGCAAATGGAGACGCTCAGAGGTTGGGTGTCCCAGCTAGCAAATAGAGCTGGACTTTGGACCTCGTTGTGCCCAGCTGCAAAGCCGATGGCCTTCCGTGGCCCCACACTGTCCTTCCCATCCCTCTGACTTCTGACTTCGTTGTATCTTTCTTATGTCCCCTTGCTATTGGCCTGTCCCCAGCCTGCAAAGATGAGGGCGCGTTAATAGGAGACAAGAATTATTTTTGAATGTTGAAAACTATTAGGATTATTTTGTGAGAGTCTGTTATTTTATAAAAGATTTTAAGAATGGGAATATCGTTGCATATAAAAATTTGTATAACCATGTAACTGAATATATGGATTTGGGGCATTTTTCTGAAAAATTAACCTTGCTTTTATTGAATGTCTCCCCAGTAAGACGCATAGTGCTAATATGTGTACGTGTGACTTTGGAGGAGCCCCACGCGTCGGGGCCCACGCAGGGAAAGGTGACCAGGTGTGCCTTGTTCAGAGAGGGCCATGCCATCCCCTCGAGCATGTAGATCTTGCTGGCTCTTTCTTCATCTTTTCCGCTCTAGATTCATCTTTTCTCTTCATGTACTCAGTCACTGACATAGCTTGGGCTACCATGGCAAATTACAATGGACCGGGGGCTTAACCAACAAACATTTATTTCTCACAGTCCTGGAGGCTGGGAAGTCCAAGGTCAAGGCATGGGCAGATCTGGTGTCTCGTGAGGCTCGCTTCCTGGCTTGTAGGTGGCGTCTTGTATCCTTGCATGAGGGAGAGCAGAGAGCCCCAGAGCGAGCGCCCTGGCCTCTCCTTGATACGGGCACTAATCCTGTTCATGAGAACTTCACACACATGATCTGATCACCGTCCGGAGGCTCCACCTCCTAAAACCATCACATTGGGTGGTAGGTTTTCAACATTGGCATTTTCGGTGGTGGGGTCGGCACAGCAGTTCAGTCCCTAACAGAATGAAACCTGTCTAAAGTTCCAGTCTGTTCAGAGGTAGTCGGCTGTCTCTCTGTAACCCCTCCGCATTCTTGGCCATAAGCATGTTGAAGTATGGTGTGCAGATTTTGTTTTTCGCTTTTTCCCTCTGCATTGTCGTTACCAGGTCTTTTTACTTAGGCTCTTAGGCAGTGGTTGGATTCCTCGCATTGAATCTTAAGGACACGGTGGCCTGGGATGGGAAGATGGCCACCCTCCTTCGGCCAACATTGCCTTTTGACCACGTCTGGTAATTTGGAGGGGGGCTTGCTTTTCATTCTGGAATCAAGGTTCCACATGGAGGCCGGCTCCAGGTGGGGATGGGAGACAAAGACACAGAAGTGCCTGGATATTCTCCGGTGGGAAGTGGGGTGTTGTGGTTGCAGGTAGTAGGGAGCTGTCTGGGGGTGAGAGTGCTTTCTCAGGCCTCTGCCACCGTGCCCTTTGAAGTAGCAGTGGTGTCCGTGTCGGAGCTCAGGACAGCTGCAAGCCTGATCCCCTCTTGCCGTTTTATACATTTGGAGGTGGCCCGAGAGAGGAAAGTGACTTTGCCCCAGGGTGAAGATGGTTGGCTTCCAGACCAGCTCGAGAATCCTAGTCTGCAGGATGGCATATAGGTAAATCTTGGGCTCCGCGGATAAGACAGATCAAAGGACACAACTGGAAGGCTTCATTAACTTCAACTTTGGAATTCACATAGATCTGCTTTTTGTGACTCACTGAGGGGCTGTCCCACGCTTGGACTTTCCAGTCCTGTTGTCTGGGCACGGGCCTGCCTCTCTCTGGAGGAAGATGAACTAATGCTGTTGCAGAGTGTGTCCCTTGGAGCTTTCTTTTCCTCTTGCCTGGTGTTGGATCCTTTTTGACTTTTAAAAAAAAATGCAGCTGATACCTTTAACCTGTTATTTGAGCAGCAAAAGATGGGATCTGGCATGAAGAATAGTATTAGACACTATACGTATAGCTTAGTTTTGTTTTAATTTCTACACCCAATGTGGGGCTTGAACCCACAACCCCAAGATCAAGAGTCACATGCTCTTGCGACTGAGCCAGCCAGGCGCCCCCAATATAGCTGAGTTATTAAGAGCCACGAATGTTAGAGTAAAATAGGCGTATATTTTATTTTGAATGCATACATGTGAGTGTGCTCGATCTGTTGGTGTTTTTTTTCTGTTTGTTTTGTTTTAGTTTGAAAGATGATAATGAATACATTGAAATAAAATGTTCCTAGGATCCCCATAGAAGCCCTAGAAGGTGCTGTGAGGAAATGCTGGGTTCTGGTTTGAAAGCCACGTGTAAATAATTTCTCAGGTTCTGTCTGCTTCCAGGGTGCCCTGACTTAGGAGTGTAGTAGGGGTTGTGCAGTTGAAGGCTTGGTAACCTAAAACGTGGTGGATTTCAGGTGTGTCTGCTACATGTCAGGCGCTGTTCCAGCCGCTGGAAGTTTTTGCAGTGAACAAGGCAGAAGGAAATCCCCCTGGCACGGAGCCGTATTCTGCTGAGAGGAGAGAGTCCATTAAACTGTGTGTCGGAGAGGGCTAGAAGGAGAAGAAAGCCAGCTGGGGTGGATCGGGAGGCTCGCAGTGAGGATCAGCAGCAGACAGCCAGAGTCGGAAGGATCTGTAGGGACTAGCTCAGTCGGTTCTGCAGGAGAATGCCAGGGATGGCCTCGGCATCTCGCTGAGAAGGAGCCGTGCTCCCTGAAGCGGTCACTCGATCAGGCGGAGCTGTCTGACAGACTTCAAAATGAATATGCAACATGGTTTAGCAATGAGATGGCCTGTTGGTTAATGTTAGGCCACGCTGCTCTTGTAGTGTCCCCCGAACAGTGTCTCGGTTGACCCGGGAACAAAGACTTCTGCAAAGTCTTCTTCCCTGCTGCTTTCTTTACTTGGGCAGGGGGGCGTCCTTTCAGGAGGTTTTAATTGTTAGGCAAAATGTCTCTTTGGGACTGAAGAAGTTTTTAGGTTTTAATCTTTACCATGTAACATGTGCCTGTTCTATCATCTCAGACTACTTCTAATATGATCGTTTAAGGGGTGCTTGGATGACTCAGTCGGTTAAGCGTCTGCCTTCGGCTCGGGTCGTGATGTCAGGGTCCTGGGATCGAGCCCCGCATCGGGCTCCCTGCTCAGCAGGAAGCCTGCTTCTCCCTCTCCCTCTCCCCCAGCTCATGTTCTCTCTCTCTGTCTCTCAAATAAATAAATCTTTTTTAAAAATTAATATGACCATTTAAGTAACACTAATCATTCTTTTCTTACTAGTTAGAACCTGGCCCTTTAGATGAGACTCAGATTGCTACCATATTAAGAGAAATACTGAAAGGACTTGATTATTTGCATTCGGAGAAGAAGATTCATAGAGATATTAAAGGTAAGAAAACCTCTTGCTCGTATTCCTCTGAAGTCCTAAGGCTTCGTGTTCATGGGAACGTGCAGTGGAGTTTAGCTGGTACGTCTCTCCTCGAGGGAGGTTCTCCTGCGTGTGTTTGGAGAGAGCCTTCGACATGCCTCGGGTGGGGGTGGCTTTCAGGGGGATCTCCCCAAAAGCGTACCTTTGGTGCCTGCTCTTGTTGAGCACGTGATCTGGCGGGAGGACGCGCGTGTTCCCGGAGCGAGAACGGGTGGAACCACACTGCGAATAACGTCAGGAGGCGTCTCCGGTTTTATTTCACAGCTGCCAATGTTCTGCTCTCTGAGCACGGCGAGGTGAAGCTGGCCGATTTCGGGGTGGCGGGCCAGCTGACGGATACCCAGATAAAAAGGAATACCTTCGTGGGCACCCCTTTCTGGATGGCACCCGAGGTCATTAAACAGTCAGCCTACGACTCAAAGGTAAGGCCCGGCTCTTCACGTCCGCTGGCTCTAGGGGCTTGTCCTCTTTTGCTTCATCCTTACAGCTTTTCCAGTGCAGTGAAGCGAGTTCCTTGAAGTAGGACATAACGGCAGTTCTCTCAGACCTTGGTTAAAAACAGGCTTCAGCTCTCCCTGCTGCATCATTTAATGTCCTTTATCTATCCAGCCCACAGTTGATGAGGTTTTTAGCTTAAACACTGTGTGCCTGATGGTGATGGGCAACACTGGGAAGGAGCACATTGGGAGGTGGGTGTGGAGGAACAGAGGACCACGATGGCCAGACAGGAACGGGTTCGGGCCTGCTGAGACGTCTAGGTGGAGGCACATGGGCGTGTGGGTCCACAGAGAGGGGTGGGAGGTTGTCCCGTGTAGAGGTGGTGCTCGGAGCCTGAGTGGTGTGGATGACGGAAGGGGACCCTGGGCAGAACTCTGAGCAATATTTCGGGGACAGGCAGAGAAAGAGGGTCCCACAAAAGAAGTGGAGAGTCCGCAAAAATATAAGACCAGAATCTGGAAAGAATATGCTTTTATTGATTGCCAGATTGTTCCTCTCATTATTTTTAAATCTCAGGATCGTTATTCCGAGAGGCTCCTTCCCAACATGAGGCAAACCATAATTCCTCTTTTCTACCGTTTTTACCTGTCATACATTGTACTCTCCCAATTTTTCCTGGGTTCTCTTTTCCCCGGTGCCTTCACCTTTTTTTGTCTTTGTCCTTGTCTTCGTCTTCGTCGTCGTCGTCTTTGTTTTTTTTTTTTTTAAGATTTATTTATTAAAGATTTTATTTATTTGAGAGAGACAGACAGACAGTGACAGAGAGCGCACAGGTGGGGAGGAGAGGGAGAAGCAGACTCCCCGCTGAGCAGGGACATGGGGCTCCATCCCAGGACCCTGGGATCATGACCTGAGCCGAAGGCAGACGCTTAACTGACTGAGCCACCCAGGCGCCCCTGATTGATTGATTGATTGATTGATTAATTATTTATATATATATACACATATATATGGCACACAGCACACTCTCGCACTCAGGAACAGGGGGCGGAGAGACGGGGAGAGAATCCTCAAGCAGACTTCCTGCTGAGCATGGAGCCCTGTTTGGGGCTCGGTCTCATGACCCTGAGATCGTGACCTGAGCTGAAACCAAGAGTCGGACATTCAACCAAGTGAGCCACCCAGGCGCCCCCTTCAGCTTCTTAAACTAATTAGTATAGACTAAAACACCTAGGGACCCTGCCTCAGGAATCTCTGATTTAACTCCCCTCTCCCCGCAGACTGCTCATTCTCAGATTGTACCTTCACACGGTCCACAGAGAATTGGCTCTTCTGAACCAGCAGTTTCTAGGCAAATATTTAACTCACATACATTTACAAGCCAGGTGTTGTTTCCTCTTTCTAAAGGGGAATCTTCTCCGTCTGCAGTAGCCTTCCCACCTCGTGAAGCACAGCACCCGGAGCACGGAGTAGCCTTGCCTCCAGCCCTCAGGGCGCCATTGTGGGTCCGCAGCTGTTGAACGAGCCCATGTGGTACCAGAGTCGCAGGCGTCCCTGTGCTAACATGGCAGAGACGGACCTGGCTCTCTCACTTTTGAGTTGTCGTGGCGGCTGTGACTGTCCTCGTCCTCCCCATGGCCTTGGTGGCCGTGGCCCAAAGGTGACTGTTGAGTTCTCAGCCCCCAGTGCGATAGAGCTGTGTAGTCTTCATTTGCTTGTTGCTTGTTTAGCGTGCTGCCCTGTGTGAGGGGTCACCTCCAGAACAATCTCTGCAGCCACTTCTGTTGGGGTGCTATCATTTTAGGACTTGACAGGAACTTTTGTGTTCAGTCCTTTCTCTTTATTTTAGGCTGAGGCCCGTTTATCAGAGTTTGTAGATTGAGATTTTGGAAGGCACTAGAATCCACATTTATGAACTCCTCTGATGACCTTGCACTGATTACTCTCCTCTCTTCCTAGTAAATGAGCTGCTCAGCCACGGTGCTTGTGAATCCGGATTCAGATCTTCTATTTTCAGGATTAAACGGCTCACTTGATAGCTCGCTTGACCTTCCCTTTCCCGTCCGTCTTCCTCCTTGGGGGCTGCTCTGGATGTTTGCCCAAGATGTGGCCTCTAGCAGGGGAGATTTTCCTGCATCGTAAGGCTTGGCCACCTTTTCCCCTGGAGTTTTGTCAAGATCAGAACACTCGAATCCTATCAGTAGGTGTTGCAGTGTTTTTCTTAGGTAGATTTAAAGGCGCTCTCTCCAGCTCAGGGGGTGCACACTTGGTCGGGGAGCGTGAAAAGGTATGCCACTCTTCTCACTGACCTTTAACTATACCTCTTTCTATGGCCTACGTCAAAAGCTAAATCTTTCACTTGCCTGGGTCACATTCAACACCTCTTAACTGGAAATCATGTGCAAAAATTATGTTGATGTGAAGTTTGCTTCCCAGGTTTGTTGACCCAGGAGGTGTGGAAAGTGCAGATAAGGCTGATGTCCACGTCTGAGTCTGGGGCCTTGGGGATGAAGTGACATTAGTTCCCTGCCATTAGGTGTGGCTCTGGGCTAGCAGCTTTTGTCACAAAGGGACTGTTTCTGCATTTGCTTTGTGGATATCCTTCTAGCGCCTGCCTCCCTTCTCAGAGGCTTGCCTGGCAGGGCCGTAGGTGCCCTTGGAGGGGGGGCATTGTGGTTACTGTGGTCTCCTGATACACAAATGTATTTGGCTTCTTTCCAGTTGCCCTTTCCATTCTTTTCCTTAGGTGTCCATCCAGACATTTGCCCCATTAGTCTTTGCATTCCATTAAGATTCTTTTACCATTGTTAGGACCCCTTGCTCCCATCATACTCATTTTTGGTACACTCACTGATTTTCAAAGGAAGGTCAGGTTGGCGTAAGGCTAGAATGCCCCTGCCTCACTAGCATCCTCATCTTACTGAACCAAAGGGAATGTAAGCCTTAGTTTTATGTACGTCTAGAACCTTGTTTAATGAAATGACCTCTTAAAGCAGTATCTTTGACCCCTTGTCATTTGTCCAGACTCCTTAGGTGTCCTGAAGTGTTTGTACATAAAGGGCATCTTACGTTGGTCTCAGTTCTTCATCTAAACACAGCATTACTAGATCATGATTGTCCATATGTCTTTTTTTTTTTTAAAGATTTTATTTATTTATTTGACAGAGAGAGAGACAGCGAGAGCAGGAACACAAGCAGGGTGAGTGGGAGAGGGAGAAGCAGGCTTCCCGCCGAGCAGGGAGCCCGATGTGGGACTCGATCCCAGGACCCTGGGATCATGACCTGAGCCAAAGACAGACGCTTAACGACTGAGCCACCCAGGCACCCTGATTGTCCATATGTCTTAAGAGCCTTCATTATTACTATTATTTTTAAGGTGAAGCAGGATAGCTTGGTTTATTTGAAGAAGTCTTGAGACTTTGAAGATGGTGCCACGGGAGATAACTGCTCTCCCACAAAGGAGCGTTTGCATTCCACACCTGAGCAGGGTCTTGGCTGAAGATTGTTAATCTTTCCCCCCCGCTCTTCTTTCTTTGCAAGGTTATTACGATGGTGTGTTAGCAAATGGATTGGAATTGTCCCTGTTCGGTGTCTGTTTCTCTGTATTCATGCATTTGGTTATTGCTGTAGTTGGGCCTGATGCTCAGTAATTTACATCTTCAGTGAGTGATCGCAGTACTGGGTGGCTCTAGCAGGGAGCGGAGAGGGCAGGGGAGCTCAGTGCGGAATGTCAGAGCGAGCTGGGGAAGGCTGCATGGCCATAGGGCTTTGCAGTTTGCGGCCCCTCCAAGATGAGGGAGGCATGGATGTTCAGACCCCAGCCTGGTGTGGGAATGCAGTGACATTTGTATTTGGATTGTAGATTGTGGTGAAGAACGTGGAAGGAGATGAGGCCAGAGAAACTGACTTGCCTGGTGACTGAAATACCCCGTAGACACTGAGAAGCCAGTGTCAGTGTTCTCTTGTAAATAACTTTTTTCCCTTTTTTGGTCTCAAAAGCAGTACATACTCTTTAATCTGGAGAATGCTGGAAAAAAGGAGATAAAAAAAGAAAAACATCTGTAGACCTACCACCCCAGCACAGGCTAAGCTATTTTGGTGTCCAGTCATCTCTGAAATAACTGTTTGCAGTCTAAACCATGGTGAAAAATGGAAATAGGTGATATGTTGATGGAAAAAAATGAGATTATTAAAGATAAATGAAGATCGGCGGTAGTAGCCTGCCAATTTTTGGAATCTGTGTGTTTAGCCTGTCCACGGCAGCCTGTGACTGGCCTCCCTGTCCCCCGGGCTGGGCCCGCTGCCCACCCCCTCCTCCCACTCCCCCCGGTCCCTGCACAGGATCAGGAATTACCCACAGACCCAGCTGTGAGTGATGAGCCCTGGGGGTTGCAGGCAGGATGTGAGTGGGAAAAACATGCAGCTAAGAGATTAACGGTAGGCTTTATTTTAGCACGTAGTAATGATTGGGACTTTTCTGATCAACCACGTATTGCTATTTAGTGCTGAAATGATATTTATTTATACCTCTGTGTGCTGCGTATAAACGTGTTCTTCAGTACTGCATTTAATTAAGTAAATAGTTTCTATCCATTTTGAGCTATGTTCTGACTAGATATATATAACTGATTTGGGATTCTTGTTCCTTTTCTTTCTTTTTTTTAAAGAAAAGATTTTCTTTTATTAACCATCTGTAACACTTTCATCCAGGTCACTACAGCTTAAAATAGATCACTGCCCTTTCCCAGCTATTTAGTAACTAAGAGCAGTGGATAAAATCTATACACTAGTTCAGAAAAGTTCACATCCCCATCAGTTCTGAACATTTGATTCACCAAGCTTAGATTATTTAAAAAAGAAGGATCAGAAATTAAACATCACAAATGAGATTTTTTTTTGTCACCATTAAATGTCTGAATTTTAAACAGATTCTTGGATTGGTGGTTCATATCCATTGGCTCATTCAACTTGAGCATGGTCTTCCCAGTAGCTTTTCCAGAATTACTTACTGCCTTCACCACAAAGCGCCATGAGCTTTCCTAATTCAAAGTTGGGCTTTTTCAGCATTTTTACTTTTCTAACATAGACATCATGGAGTGGATAAATGGACTGACAATGACAAGCCTTTTCTATGTCTTTTGTGATGCTGTCTGGAATCAATGTATTGACCACTTCTTTCAGGTCATTTGTCTGCACATCTTGGGCCATGATTTCTATCATCGTTTTCTGAATTTAGCAGACTTGTTGGTGATGAGCATAAGAGGTCTTCTGAGTCTGATTGTTGCATTTTTTAGCAAAACCAACACAAAATAGACAAAGCAAATAACCATCGGTAGTCTTGACATCGACATGAGCTTCGATCATGGTCTGCCTTGTTTTTTGACTGTGGAGCACATTTTGTCACGGATAAGATCCATGCCATGGAAATTAGGCAGTTTTTGTCTTGAATGTCCTCAGTAATTAGCTTGAATTTTCCAAATTCACCTTCGTCATTCTGCAGATCAGCAAAGCTCACTTCAAAAACACAACCCTTGGGGAATCGGATGTGACTTTGATTCCTTTGAGTTCCCATGACTAGTGTTTTTCCAGTATTTTTTATGTTGAACATAGCTGGTGCTTTCACGTCATACCAATCTTTTCTTAGAAAATGGATCGACCACTTTCTTCTTGGCTCCCTTTTTGCCACCTTTCCTAAGGCACTGGTTCTTCCCAGCCTCCATGGTGCTGCTCAGGAAGCCAAAAGGCAGGATTCTTGGGTTTTTTTCCCTCCTCCTCCTCTTGATTATAGAGCCTTGACTGTGGTTCCTTTTAGAATATTTTCTGCACGTAAATTTTTTATACCACTTACATCGTGTTGTATCTGCAGATTTGTAGCCAGCTTACTTTTACTTAATAGGATATTGCAAGGATCTAGAATGTTGTCTGTTAGTAAAAAACCCCTCCCCGAGAAGAGTCGCTGATCATCAGTACCGGAGAACTCCATGTTGTCACTTAGGAGCATGCTACTAGAACTGTCCATGTAGGAGAAAAAGTCTGTTTGCAGATGTATATCTATAGTATAGAGATAGAGGATTATATCTCTAACCCTATATAAGGGCAGGTGCCCTTAAAACTTTTGACTTGGGCTTATATTGAAAACCACTGTTTTCTCTCAATATCTCATTTCATGGTTTTCCCAGATGGCATAAAACACGTCTCTTCTTCTACCTCAATTTTAATTGTTTTGGAAAATAACTGCCCTTCCCCCACATAACTTTTATTTTAAAACCTAGACACGTGTTTCCATCTGATGCCGTATTTCCTAAGTACAGTAATAGACAAACTCCGTTATATCTGTGATTCTCTACCAATGTCATTGAATATGCGGGATTTCAGTAAATGTGTTAGTGCATCATCATTCTTCTAAGCTTTAGTGGAAGTAATGCTGCAATGGAATATTTTTGGCAGCGTACACCATTTTCTAAATCTAAAATTATTTATTTAGGATAGATTCCTAGAAGAGGAATTTATTGGTTTTAACAAGCTTGGATGTTTTTATGGCTTCATTTGACATTGCATCCATCAAGTTTTCCACATTAGTCAGCAGGATGTGTGATGTCTCGAGAGGGAGTCTCCAGGCAGGAAGACACTTAGGAGCCCCCCAGAGAAGCCCCAGGGAGAGAGGATAGCTCTGAACTCAGCCACGGGCAGGAGGGACAGGGGGTGACCAGGTGCCGAGAGGCCAGGAGCCACACACCTGGCCTGGCTGATGTAGGAGGATCCAGAGAGGAACTGACGAGCTGGTGCGACACACAGGCTCCTGGCTCGGCTGCCTGGCAGGATGGCACATGTTTTACCATGACGAGGCTGTACTGGCCGACCCTCCCCGGGGGAAGCAGGAGGGCGATGTCCGAGCCTCTCCTCTGAAGACCGTGGCCGTGTCTTGGGGGTGGGGCTGGGAAGGCTGCTTCGTGTTCCGGCTGCTGGCCCATACTGGCATGTGGAAGCAGCTGCAGGTCCTTGAAACCTTGGGCCTGTCTGCTGCTTGTCCCGCCGGGAGCCTGGTCCACAGCCCTTGGAGCTCTGAGGGAAATGAGCGTATGCACATCTGGAGAGAGGCTGCCAGCAAACACCATCGTGGGCCTGGCTTTCTAATTAGGGAATTTGTAAGTGCTTGTGGGATGCTTGGGGGTCAAGAGGTTGTCCGTCAGGGGTGCCCAGCAGCAGGCTCTGCATAGAGCAGAGAGCAGCAGTTCTCTGGAAGTCCAGGAAGACTGGAGCAGGCTGCCGGAAGGGAGGAGAACCTGTTGTGTAAAGAGCCACTGACACACGAGGGCTGCGCATTCTCGGTTCCTGTATCCCTCCCTCCCTGTAACCACACCCCTGCTCCCATCCACCTGCTCCTGCCGGTACAGATGCTCGCCTGTCGAGCATCCCCCCTTCCTCCTCCTCGGCGCACGGGCTCTGGGATCCGTCACGTTTTTACTGATTTTAAAAGTAATACACACGTAAGCTAAAGCAGAGTCTAAGCTGCCAAGGGAGGGGAAACGGGAATAGGACTCCTGATGCTGGTTCTTCCAGTCTGATCCCTTTCGTGCAAAGAATTCAGAACAAGCCTTGCTGACAGACCTGTTTTCACTGAGGACAGAAGAAACACAGAGTGTGTGGTAGGCACCGACCCCACGGGCTGCCGGGCAGGGAGACAGCAGCGAGCGTCTCTCCCACTCACTAGGGTTGCGAGACCACAACAGGTGTTGAAGGTCGGAAAAGTCTGGGTCCCGCCGTGACCTGAACGGTGTCTCAGCCTTTCATTGCTTTGCTGTAGAGTGAGCCTGAGGGATCTAGTAGGTTCTGACTTTCGACAGGTTTCCTGCGCACAGTGACCAGAGCAGAAAAGTTGTGCGAGGCGGGCTTCGTGTGGATCCTAATTCCAATAAACCAACCGTGACAATATTTTTTTGAAGAGTTGAGAAAATTTAACTATTACAACATATTAAATTATTAAGTTAAAAATTATTACTAATTTTAGGTCTTGCTAGGTAGTACAGAAACCTTACTGACAAGCTGAGGTAGTCGGGAAAATGTCACGCTGTCTTTGACTTACTTTTAAATACACCGTGGCAAAGAATAGACAAAACCCATATGGCAAATTGTTAATCATTAACTTCATGTTAATTCTATTATTATTCTCCTCTATTAATATTCTGTTACTATTCTCCACTTCTGTGTGTGTTTGAACATTTCCGGAAGAAACCCATTTTAAGTTCTGGGCACTCTGTGAGGTACCTTGCTCAACCACCCTGGTATTATTCCCATTTTGCAGATGAGGGAACTAGGCTTACAGGTTAGATTTTTTTTTTTTTTTTAAGATTTTATTTATTTATTTTAGAGCACATGCGAGAGAGCATGGGTCAGGGGAGGGGTGGTGGGGGAGGGAGGGGCTGGATCTCACAACCCTGACACCACGACCTGGGTTGAAACCAAGAATTGGACCCCTAACTGACTGAGCCACCTAGGCGCCCTGGTGAGATATTTTGTCTCATGTCGTAAGACTTTGGTCGTAGAACTGGCATTTAAACTCAAGTCTCTGAGACCAGTGTGCCTGCTTTCAACCTCACAGCTGGGCTTGGTTGTAAGCTGGCTTGATGGGGGATGAGTCTCAAACACCTCTCTATTCCAGACGTGCCCTCTCTGCTCACTTCTAGTTAACTATCCCATCACTCCAGGGATTTAAATTACCGTGGAGTGCCTCATACTTCCAGTGGTAAATGGGAGATGAGTAATTGTAAAAGCCGCCTTCAGTGCAGAGCTAGAAGATATTCTGTATATTAAATTTTCTCCTGTGTGTTTCCTCTTTTGAAATCATATCAAATCCTTATCTTTTTTGTTTTCACTTAAAAATAACTATCTTTTGGGGCGCCTGGGTGGCTCAGTCGTTAAGCGTCTGCCTGCGGCTCGGGTCATGATCCCAGGGTCCTGGGATCGAGCCCCACATCGGGCTCCCTGCTCCATGGGGAGCCTGCTTCTCCCTCTCCCACTCCCTCTGCTT